CTCATTTAAATAATATATTTTTTCTGTCGTGATGAAAAATATTTCGCTAGATTAGTAAAATTTGGCTGGTCCGACATGATCTCATTTCAAAAGGTTAAGAAAGGAAAAAAACAAGTTAATTTGGTACTAATTCATTTACTCTTATTTTGAACAATTAGTTTTTGAATATGTTTTTATATATTTGATCTCAACTTAATTAATATATTAAATATTAACCCTGAAAATCATCCAACCCACAAAATTAAATAAAACGATTCCATTCTGCACACAAAATATACATTTTAAATACACATTATGTATGCAATAGACAAATTCAAGGCAAGTGAGTACATGTAGGACAAATTCTACTTTATACTAATACTATATAGCATGTATTAACAAGCCATATGGCCAGAGTATATAAGTACATGCAAGATAAATTCTATTTTTCGACTTTTTTTATTTTTTTTATTTTGAAGTTTTACATGTTAATAATTACTATATTTTTTCAAGACATTTTTTTCAATGAAGACGACGTGTTAACCTAGCTAGCGCCAAACTCCCGGTTCCACTTTTCGATCTCTTCCCACTTGCTTTTCTTTAAGCTAGGTCTAATAACAGTCATCGCCTTCTGAAAATCTCCGAGTTTTAATCCCCTAACCTGCACATATTTTTTCAAGAGTGAGTGGATCGTGTGGTCAATGGTTAAAAACTTTCGATTCAGCCCAAGATTTTACGGCTAACAAGTAAAAATTACCTGATTTGCCTGGACAGTAAGAATATTTGAACCGAGCTCTCTGATGGGCATCATCGCAGCTTCCCCACACAACGCCTGTAGGTCACTTCCAGAATATCCTATAAATTTAACATTTTGCCACGAATTTAAAAGACGTGCAAAAAAAATGTTCATCGGGTTTTTGCTGAGAAACAATATTCACATATGTAACTGTAAGTAAGTTTCACACTTGCTCATGAAATTTGCACAACCATTTATCAGTTTTAATCACTTTTCTCTATAGCTTTTTAAAATGTATGGTTTGTCACTTCTCTATTTCACGAAGCAAAATAATAGAGGCCCATATTATTTAGGGGAAATATATATATATATATATATATATATATATATATATATATATATATATATATATATATATATATATCTTAGTCTTACCATCTGTTTCCGCGACAAGTCTCTCTAAATCTCGATCTGTTTTCCAAGAACAAGAAACAATGTCAAATAACAGAATTCCAGCTGTGCATGGGATGTGACCAGGATTCGTCGAGCTAAAATTATGATCTGACCTGGCAAAGAGAATGCATGGCCCTTGAGCTTATGTTTCAAAAGAAGTCTTCTGGCATTTGCATCCGGCAAAGGTATGTATATTCTCTTCACCTGTTTCAATATTTTGACACAGGAAGAAAAAGACGGTTCACTTAAATCCACCCCAGCTATATATTTTAAGCTTATAGGACAATCTTTGTATATAATACTCGGGCTCCCCAGAAATGTTCCTTTCCAGCACTTAAATATATCACAGGTCACATCAACACTGAACTTGGAGCCAATTAGTCCAAGATTTATAGTACTTAAAACAATTTTTTAAACATCTATAAAAAGCCGACTTGTTTGTAGGGTAAAAAACTAGAGACACGTGTCATAGATTTTTTTGGAAAAAAAGTTGATACAGAATGAGAATTTCACCACTCGGTTCATAAATAAAAATGCCGTAACGAGCAAGTTAATGAATTTTTGCTAACCAGTCTTCTGAGAACTGCATCATCCAGCTCTTGGGGTTTATTAGTCGCACCTGCAAAAGCATAAGAATACGTCTGAGAAGAGAATCACAGCATAGTCAATTATAGATTATATTTGTTGTTATTAGTCCATCTGCATAATTTTAGCACCTTAAGTTAGTCTATTTAGAATAAAAAGACGATAGCCTGAGTAGCATAATTCCTTAAAGATAAGCATAAGTTACATTGATGCGTGGTACAAGGAAAATATCAATGTGGTTAAGTTCACATATTTGGATCTTAGCAGCTGGCTTTTTGAAGGCATAACAGTTGCTTGGAGAGGAAGATAAAATCAAGACAAATACAGAATATACATGAGACTCAGAATTACACAAAAAGACAATCAAGCTCCATATAAGTATCATCTGTAAGCAGTAAAATCCACAACCGCAGTCAACACAAGAGCTAGGAATGCAAAGTTTACCAATGACAGTGACTAAATCACCAGAACTCGATGCTACCCCATCGAACTGAACGAGAAACTCCGACTTCAGCCTTCTACTTGCTTCATTCTCATTCTCTGTTCTTGTTGACATTATACTATCAATCTGTACAACAGAAGGTTTGTGAATAGTTGTATAAGCACCAATCAGCCATCAATAGATCATAAATATGGAAATAAGAAAGCATAGGCACGGCGAAAAACAGGTAATTAATAATAGCAAACTACAAGCGTAAAGAACAAAAGATGATCAGATGCAATTGAGGTACAAAAACTGGGTTCTTAAGGCAGGCCGTAGGATGTGTTTAAGCAATCATTTTCTTGATAAAGAGAGCCACTTATATCCACTATTTCAATTAATGGAAGTTTTCAATGGAGTAAAAATCAAAGGGTAAGCCACATAAGGGTAGCAGCTAAAAATCACATATATGGACCCAACGTTCAACACTCGAGACGGTTCAATACCTCATCAATGAAAATTACAGATGGCTGCCTGGAAATGGCAACCTGAAAAAGGGTTCGAACAAGCTTTTCACCCTCTCCCACCTGACATCATATATAAGCATTTCAGATATTATAACTAACAGAACAAGGGCTTACAACCTGTTAGGGAGGGAGAAAAACAGACAACACGCACCCACTTTGACGTCAAGGAAGAAGCAGAAACACTAAAAAAGGTAGCATCGGATTCTGAAGCAACTGCTTTTGCAAGCAGGGTTTTTCCTGTACCAGGTGGTCCAAAGAGAAGTAATCCTGCCAAAACATTAACTCTTTACACTTTTTCGGTCAAAGAAATATTGCTCAGACTGCTAGAAATTGGATTATGAAGTTAATAATACCCTTGGCTGGCTTTCGAAGTCCAGTAAAAAGGTCTCTTCTTTTAGTTGGCAGAATAACCATTTCCAGCAATGCTTGTTTTGCCATCTCAAGCCCAGCTGCAAGGGCATTTTTATATTGAGATGAAAACCATAAAACAGAGAAAAAAGAAAAATCATCAAGAAATGACATCCCCTTACCAATGTCTTCCCATTTAACAGCAGGGCTATGATCGATAATCACAGAATTTATCATGTCTACCAGTTTAGAATCATAGCCACCGCCAGATTCTTGTACAGGTCTTGGCGTCTTTGTGTTGTTAACCTGACTCCTCATAGCAGGAGTACCACTGCTAAGACCAGAAGTGTTTTGAACTGCCACTTTTCTTGGACGCGAAGCTGTAGATGGAATTGCCCCAGTTTGTGACTTAGGAGAGGTACTCTAAAAAAATACACACGGAAGGGAAAAGAGATTAGGTCAAACTGGTGGTTGATTCCACTACATTCTACATTTATACTTTAGCAAATAAAAAAAGGGAAGAAAGAAAGGAAGGCAAATTCTTCCATCGCGACTCGATGCACCGATCAACATGCTTAATCTAATGACATTTTTCCTTTAATGATTTATGCACTAATTAGCACATAAAAGTTCTCCTCGAACAAATGTTAAATCAAGCAAAGATACAATCCGAAGTTTAAAACTTACACGTCAGTTAGAGCATTCCATACCTTGATTTCTGATGATCCACCTAGACAATCGATAGGGCAAGGAGGAAGAAACAAAAATCGACAAAGTAAGTTTTTAGCCATCAAGTGCTTGCATCATTATTTTCAGGAAGAAATGCAAAGATCCAAGCAAATATTTACCTGTTCTTCGAGCCAAAGTTTGCAATCTCTCTGCTACCTGGCTTTGCCATTTTGATATCTTTTCACGATGAGATTTCACCTTCTCCATTTCACTGTCAAAAATTTACGAAGAAAAAACATCGGAAGTAAAGATTCACCAAGCATTTTAAATTCCATGTCGTCCAATGTGGAGTGCAAAGCATAATATCCTCACAAAATCACAATCATCTTCAAAACAAGAGAATGTACTTAAGCAATTCATGCAGACTGTTAATTCCTACAAACGACGAGCCTTCAACCAATAGGATCTAATTGGTGTACACCATAGTGAAGATTACACTATTGAACTCATTCAAGAATTTCGGGCCTTATATCGATCATATAAAACGACAGTTTTATATAATCCAGGTGCAAATTCAGAGAAGTTAAATTGAACATCACACATCAAACACTTCAATCAATAGAAACAATAAGAGTAAAAAAAAAAAAAAAAAAAAACAACAAATCTTCTGGTACCTGGAGGAGATGTAAGAAGGAACTGGAGTGGAAATTGCTTCACTGAGTATCCTCCGCGCATTATTATAACACGAAACGGCGTCGTCTGGTAAACCCCACTCTTCAGCCCTAACGGCTTTATCAATCTCCTCTTTGGCCAAATCGAAGTAGCTTTTCAGCTTGTACGCAGTCCGCTCGTTCCCCGTCGAAACGCCGCCCTCTCCGTCCATGGCTCCTCCGCCGGTGGCGCTGGAATTTGTCTGCGAAGGAATCGAGATCGACCGGTATTTTTCAATCAACTCCTTGAATAAGTACATATCTGGAAGGTATTAATCCGTTGTTAGGTTACGCAATTTTGTGGGTTTTCTGAGAAGAAACAAATTGAAGAAAAAGAGCGCAATTTTACCAATTCAACCAAGGGAATTTGCATATCGTGCCTTCGAACAATTGACTTGTTGACACGGCGGAGAATTATCTTCAGGAAGAAATACCTGATTAGTAATTAGTATTTAGTAACTTGCTATTAGAAATTATAATCATTAAATTAACATAGGGAAAAATAGAGTTTTCACCCCCAAAGTTTGAATCGGTTTCACATTTGGTCACTCGTGTTCACAAAAAACACATTTAGTCCCTCATGTTTCAAAAATTCAACAGTTTTTGCCATTTCCGTCAATTTTATGTTAAAACTAACCGAATCAAACATGTGTCCATTACTACCGTAACTGATGGACTAAGGGTAAATTGACGGAAATGATCAAAATTGTTAAATTATTGAAACATTAAGGACCAAGTGTGCTTTTTGTAAACATAAGGGACCAAATGTGAAATTGTGCAAACTTGAGGCGTGAAAACTGTAAATTTCCCAATTAACATACTTATGATTAATTAGAGATTAATTAGGCCAAACGAGTGTTCAATTAGTGTCGATAAAATTAAATAATCTAATGAAACCCAATTGTATTACTGTAAATGCATGATAACATAATATTTACGGGTCGTTTAGTTGTGAAGATTAACCATTATAACTAAATAATTGGATTTTATTTAATGTTTGGTATACGAATAACTTGCTCTGCAACCGACAAATATTATATTTATCGTGACTTATCTTGTCTTTTAAGTAGTTTTTTTTGTGGGACATTTTAGGATCCAATAAAATAAGTGGTCGTTAAATTATTTAATCTTATGTTGGCTAATTTTATTTTTGGCAACCAACGACTAATAATTTGATTTTATGTTCCATTAATTTTAAGGGTCTTTCTAGGGTGAGATCCCATGTTCTAAACTTTTATGAGATACCCCTTTATATTGCGCCACGTGTCCCTGCAAAAAAATCCAATTTTTCCTCATTTACGTATTGTCGTAAATACCCTTCGTATAATTAATATTTTCAAAAAATCGGTCATTATATATTATTAATGTAATGTCAATTTTACCCTCTATATTTTTAATGCAATTTTAAATATATATTTATTGCTGAATTAAAATTTTTAATGTCAATTATATCATTATTCGTAAAAATCATTAAACCACCGATCCAAAATTGCATCAACCTGAATTCGAACTCGTGACCATCTGAAAACACACAAGAATACTTACCATTAAGACACAACACATAATTGACAATAAACTAACAATACGGATATATATCACAAAGCTACAATTTATAATGGTTATAAAACTTATATAAATAATGTTAAATAAATTATTATTTCTCATATAATTATCATGATCCC